CACATGTCTCTCAGTAGCGGACCAACTTCTGTTATGAAATCAAGGTATTTAGTAGTCTTCTGAAGGCTGGGCCAGATTTTTTGTTGGGCAAGTGATGTCACCTTTTAACATTCGCAACTGCAAATCAAATATTTTTCACCCCTGTTTTTATGTTTCTTATTTTGGGAGATTTCTTTTTTGGGGGGGGCTAGACAAAATGGGAGGGGGGAGCTCTCCCTGTAGAAGCATGCCTGATGTTACTAGTAGGCCTGTACATTTCCGTGGTTTTTTTTTTCAAGTTTAAGGTTCGTTTTCTTTTTCTGAATAGAGGGGACTGAAAAATAAATTAAGTTTCTGATATGAAAGTTTTCAAATGCCAGAAAGTTTCTTAGCAGCTGTTGGATCCGGGATATTTTTTGACACTTCTGGATCATGTTATTGCCAGATTCAAACCTCATCAGACCGATCTCTCTTGATGGTCCAACTGAGGCAAAGATTTCCCGGTATCAATTAGCAACATCTGGGGGAAATCACTGGGAAGACATCTCTTCATTCTTTCCCAACTCAGGGGAGAAGCAAAACCAGAGCACAGTGCGGGTTGTCGAACAGATGATAGACAACAACGTTGTTTTTTAGGCATTTAGAACAGTTGACTGTTTTCTCAGACAACAATTTCCTAATGGAGGCAGTAAACTGGAGGATGGAAAGTAACATTTGTTGACAAATCATCAAAATTCCTGAAACCTCAGTCACAGGCACACAGAGAAGCAGGACACTGACAAAGACTCAACAGTCCTACACTTAAACAGTAGTGCTAATTGTGCTAAAAGCAGTTTCCTGGTGTGTGATGTTATTCAGAAATGCCTCTTCCACATGGTATTTTCCAACCTTTTCAGAGAAGCCCCCATGTCCACGAGCAGTAGTGTTTAAGAACATTATGACTTCTAGTTCCATTGTAGCTCTATGATTAAATGGTCTCAGTCACTGTTATGATATGGAAGGCATGAAGGGATAGGATTCCAAGTGAAATCAGTTTACTGGAAAGTTTGTAGAAATTTGTACTTTGCCAAACAACCATGGACATCAAGCAAAAAACAGTCCAAAGATTACAAGGTCTTTAGTCATGATCTCTAATTTTCAACAACATTCACCGTGCAACTTCCACACTGCAGTGTATGTGTTGTCTTCATATAGCTTTGGAGTTGCAGTGCCCATATGGACCACAGGGACCCTTGAAGAAAATCATCAACAACAATTTGGAAAAGCTCAGTGGGGAAAAATGGTCAAACGCAGGAGAAACATTCTTGAGTTTGTTGTGAATGATATGGGTTTATTGGCCATATGTATCCACTCCTTATCAGATATCGAACAATGGAAACTCCATTAATGCAGAACTTTCCTATTTTATTTATTGCGGCTCAGTTAAGTACCCAGCATCCCACGCTGGAAATGTCAGTGCCCTGTGAGTGAGGTATCACTGTCACAGACACCGGCAGCCCTTGATTTTCGAATCCTATCACTCCAGAATGCTCAGACTGTTGTGCCTCTACCCTCTGACATGCCGATTGTAAATCTGTCATCACTTAGATAATTGAAACAATGTTTTTCCAGTTTCCACAAATCTTTGAAGCACTCCTATACTCGAACATTTTGTGGCATTAAATCCTACTAATTGGCCAAACATTGTGAGTACAAATATGCCAAAACTTCAAATTTCTCTGTCTTTTTGAACTGCAACTGAATAACACATCTCATTTCGCAGACAATAAATCAACGACAACTAATTCAAGTTTCGATATCAATGATAGAAGTTCAACATTTCAGAGTATTTTTTTTTGTCAATGAATTCAGCTTTTGTCACAGTGCTAATCCAGTTCCTGTAGATGTTTTTGATGGATAGTTTGATGTGCTCTCTAAGTTTCTGTTTTAGTCATTCTGGATCTTAAATCATCCATACCAAATGTATGTGTATTTTGGCAGTTCGGAAAACATTGTCTCAATTTTGTTTACCATGACGAAATTTTAAAGTAACTTTCTTGATACTTCATAATGGAGTTGGGTATTTGTCATTTCTGTACATAATTATTGTGTTTAAGATGTCTCAAAATAGCAATCTCTCATGTTTTTTAGTTAATTTTTGGAGGTCTTCCCTGCTCTTCTCTTTCTTTTAGTTGTCTCATTTCATCTAGTTGAATTGAATATATTTCAAATGTTTTATACAACAGTTTTTGTTTTGAAAAGTACTTTTTTAACCATTAAACTTTGTATTTTGAAAGTATTCCCCAAGCCATGTAGACGTGTTAACTTCTTATGATGCACATCATCCATGTTACTGTATGTCAATTCAAAATTTATCTGAAAACTTAATTTACATGGGCAAGCAGTGGTAATGTAAAAATTACGTTGATCCCTCACTGCCGATCACATGTTTAACCCCAATATCGAAGGTCAGAGGCTTCCCTTGATATATACAGCCACTGGTAACCCTTACACAGCTCCATGAATCAATCTGCATCGTGCTCCTTAAAAGTTGAGGTGGTGCATGGCCCCATCGAAACAACCCCATGCCTCGCTTTGCCCCTCCCCAACCCTCTGACCTTTAAGGGGTGTGCTCCCCCTAAGAACTTCGATCAACTTTGTTGGCACGTGGATTTTGGATTAATCAAAGTGCAACTGAGCAGAGCGGCCACGCGGCCATTTCTTGCCTCATTTGCCTGAACCTGTGTGAGGAAACCCCTGTAACACTTTGTTCCATTGGCGAGGTTAGGGGGTGAGATCAGCATTCAGAAAGTGAACTTATGACACAATTTACAGTAATTTTTCTTGTCATATGCCAAATGGGATTCGGGTCAGTTACAAAGGAAGTGATAAATCATCATTGTAAATGTTGCAGAGCCTCACAACTAAACTAGACCAAAAGGTTGAGCTACATGTACCTGAAGTTGCAACTATCATTGTGTCAAAATGTTCAGGTGAAAATTCAGATAGGGAAAGTGTTGTTAGACTGCTGTTAGCCCCACTTTTGGACGTAGTCCCCAGTCACAGGTGTTGCTGTACTCTAAGCACTAATAATTTAAGTGCACGGTCCTTGTGTGCCCCCCTCTCTAAACTTTGTCCAATTTGTGACACTTGGATTGCTCATCAAAACTTAATGCACTTCAGGTGAATTTGCCCTAGACTGGGAAGAAATCAAATCGCAATGTACAGTGGCACTGGTAATATCCTACAATTTGGGGAAATGCAGTGTCTCTTGGCATGTTCCTTTTTTCACAATTTCAGAGGTACCCTGACAGTAAGAATATTTGGATGAGCTGAATTCACATGCAGAAAGAAAAACACCTCTAATGTGCACATTGATCTATTCTTCATGCATTTCTTTTCCAACTTAACCAACTACATGTACACACTTGCGAAAAATTGCCATGGTGACAGATTCCAGTGGCTGGTTATTGTCTGCCAAATCCCAAAGGCACACAGAAACCAATTAAACCTGCCTACCAAATCCAGGGCTTTATCCCCGTCTCTTGTTGATTGTCATTTCTCGAAAATGCATCACTAAAAAACATATATACTCAATGTACTAAACTAAAATCCTAGCCAAGGTCATGCTGTTCTCTGGCAAGGTGAGGAACCTGGATTTTGAATGGAATTCAGCAGTGTGTCACCCCATGACAGGTCTAAACCTAAATGTGGCTCTTTGGTTCCAGACATCTTAATCTGGTCTCTCAGTGGGATAGCGTAAGGGCCAATCACAGACTCAAGTTTTGGTTTTTTTAAATCTTGCCAGAAGAGTTTCTTGCAGCTCTTTGTTCAACTTCAGGAAACAGATTTAAAATCTGAAGTGACAGGGCAACATGTTGTAAAACATTGTTGAAATACAGCAGACCATAGCTTCTAATGTTTTTCATCATTTTCAGATGTTATGACTTATTTCAACCTGGATTGTGCCCAAACCCCGTGTTATCTTTTGATCCCTTAGCCCTAAATCCTCCAAAATCCAGATGAAACACCCCAGACCCACACCTCAAATCTTGCAGTTGTTTGTTTATCACTAAGTTGTGCATGTCCTCTTGAACCTGTTCATCATTTGAAGTTGATTTTTGAAATTTGACTCATTTTAATCTGTTTCGATTTCCTGTTGCCTCGTGCAGTATCCATGACCAACATTGCAAAATGACATGTGATAGTATGTACATGTTCTTGTGTGTTTTAGAGCTACTCAGTATGTTCACATTTTTTAATTCAGCTTTTGAAATCTTATGTTGAAAAGGATGCCCTGCAAGTTGGTAGTCTCATGACTTAATGCAAATATTCCTGAATAATGTGGCATCATGGAATGCAGCAGTTAGCATTTGCTCATGCATAAACAAGCCTTCACATGATGTTGCCTTTCAGGGTCTTTGGAAAATGCATTTTCTCCGTCAGTTAACGTCAGAAATTGTAGCACACCATTATAAATGACACAGGGGTTTCATACTTTATTTTCAGCCATGCTTGACTCATGCTAATACCAATCACTCCATTTAAAAAAGGCTCTATGCTTTCCAGCAGCTTTCTTGATTACATTAGCTTGCATGAGCTAATAACGGAGATGGCCCATAGTGCGTGCAGTAGCTTGGGATGATATCATTTTATAACCCATCCCATCTGGGTTTCTATCTGCACCAACTACTTTTTCAATTAACTCTCGCGGGACGGTCTGGAAACTGGTTCTCAATTTCAAAGATTACATGGCACTGGCAACAAGGAACAGAAACAAGAAGCACAAAGGCCCGTGCATTATTAATGTGGCCAGTGATTAAGCTTAGGTGGGGCGAACATGATACACGGTTTGAAGAACAGGGGTAAGGCACTTTTGGCTTTGATGATTGTGCTGTCAAGTTTAAGGGAAAATCTAAACTATGGAGTCCACTAGTTGTGTATTTTAAAAGTTTAAGTTCTTTAGAGTGCGACTGCTTGAGATACAAAGGTTCAAAGGTTTTCATCTTGATTTTCATCTTCTTTCACTCTCTCATGCGCAGAATAACTCCAAACCTTTGAACACCAACGGACCCCACCCCAGTCTTGCCCTGAACATACCCAACTGCAATTTTGTATGGCAGCATCAACGCTGGAGAGCACGGGCCACACTGACTACCTACCCATAGCATGCACTCCACCCCGGCAGCCCCGGCCAGCCACGACATGTAGCACTTCATCCGTGGAGGAGGACACACGCGATCGGGGCTACGGATCCAACGAGGCGTTGCGAGTTTACGAGCGGGAGATTCGGCGCGGCCTGGAGCGCATGTCCAGCTCAGCCATGGATGAAGCAGGTTGGTTGCTTTGTTTGTAAGTCTCATCGCTTGTTTGACAAGGGTTGACCCAGAAGTTTTAAGATTCATTTCAGACCAACTTCGCAGCGCTGCAAGATGGAACATTTTCTCTGCTGAAATGTTAACCTGGCAAAAAAAGACGTGGTAAACTGAGCACATACTGCCTGCTGGTGTGTGGTTAGTGTTTACATTTTAACTTTTATCCTCAAAAGCAAAACAGTACGTTGTGAGCTCAGTGAAATAGGTTTGAATGTCTTGTCAGCCATACGCTTGACTACTTTTGTTTCAGTGTAACACGGACCATTTTGTGTTGTTGACTCAAGAGCTATGGCTAGTAGTACACATGTGTGAATGGGAATTAGCTGCAGTTAGTAGTTATTATCTCTCATAGGAGCCTGTGTTGCTTCAGCCCCAGCAATAATTTTCACATACAGGATGTTTTTCTTGGTGACTTAGCACTGATCTGGGAGCCTCGTGGGAAGCTTGGAAAACCCAACCTACTGTACAACTGCATCCGAATCTGTTGTCTACAGCTAGGCCTAGGTCTTGACTCCATTGAAAATATGCATAGACCTGCTGACAATAGACGTAGCCATAGCTCTTTTGGACTTAGCCTAAACAGTAAAAATGCTGGGGACATTTTTTTGCCAATGAGGGGTACCAGGTGAATCCCCTAACTGCTGGGCAAACAGATTACTCAACCGCAATTTTTCTGACCTGATGTAGAGGTAAACTTACTACTACTCGTTTTTCAAAATGGTTGTAAGATTTGAAGCTTTGCATGGCGGAAGAGACATGAGAAATAGGTTTGCGGGTACACCATGGAATCAATCTCTTCTGGGCGAGGTGTGGCTCTTTTCACCGGTTCTTTAAAGAACCACACCTTGCCCAAAAGAGATTGATTCCATGGTGTACCCCCAAACTTATTCTCAAAATGGTTGTGGAACGTATTCTTTGTACAGCCACTTTTTTGCCCAGCATTTTGATCTTTTTTCTAAACAGTTCAGCAATTTACCTGGTACCCCAGGTAATTTTTTTATGTACTGCTAGGGTACCAGGGGGTTCATCTTGAAATTTGAGTGATATGTGGTTGGAAGGTTCATCTTGAAATGTTACTGTGTGTGAGTAAAAAATTTCAATCATTCAGAGAAGAACAGCTGAATTGGCAGAGCAATGGGTATGGGAAGTCCATCCCTTCTTAGTGGTCCCAGGTTCACATCCTTGTTGGGCCATTTAGTGTTGGGGTTTCTGATTGTCACATAGGAAATGGTCACTTGCTGATGTTCCATGAACTTGCTGCAGTAACAGATTCTGCACTTTGCAGATCAGGTTAACCAGTAATCTGATACCTGGTACCTCATCCCAAAGGTTACAGCTGGTACCTCATCACAAAATAAGAGCTTGGCACGCAGAAGTGTTCTGAACCCCATTTCAGTTACTTGGATTATCAGCATCACTTGCTCAATCATTGTCATCTGTGTCAGGAATTCCTCATCCCCTCCCAGTTCTCTGTCTTTTTTAGGGGGGAGTGTGTAATGACTGACTCATCAAGTTATGTAGAGGTCTGTCACCTTTATCTTGCTCCATAATCCCCCTGTTTACAAGTCCTCTGGACCCATGGTTTTTCTGAGGATTTGGAACCACATGCATTTGACTGGAGCTACAGGCTTTGGGTTTCTGGACAAGGGTTACATTGTGTCAAATTGCATACACATGGAACTGCAGTCTGGTAATTTTTTTTGAATAGCATGTATGTGATTGCCATTTCTGCAGTAAAGAGCATTGTCAAATGCCGGAACATGCCAAACGTACATATTGCATAGAGAGCAATCACATTTGTTTGAGGATTCACAGAAACATGAACTCGGTGTGCTATCCATGTTTATAAGCGTAGCCTAAAGTTCTCTAGAAGATGCTTGCAATATTTTCAGTTTTCATCTGTTTCATTTCATCTCAGTGAATCATCACTCATTTGTGAGAAAGTTACCAATCACTAGTGGAAAATGACCAGATGATTATTGGAGATACCAAGCCCTGGATGAGCGATTCATCAAACTTTATCATATATTCACAACACTGCAGCCAGATAAGAACCCAGCATCTTTATGGTTTCTTGATTTTTCCGGTGAGAAAAATATGTTATGAACACTGAATGATTCACATGAAACATCAAAAGAAACTTTCATAAAGTGTAAGAAGGTTTTAGTCTTTCAAAAGCACTGTAATTGTAGGCACCACTCTCATGCCTATTCCTTCCTCCATGTGCCTATTGAGTTGCTTTCTTACCTTATTAACCAAATCTATAAATCAAACATGATGTATGTGAAGTTTATAATGGTGACCTACATGAACATTTATTTTATACGCATAGCAAAAAAGAATGTATTAGCTTAAGTGCATTGGCTTTTTTTTTTCAAACAAGATGAAATCTGAATCATAGATAAATGGACAGCTCTTATTACATAGGGGGAGACGAATTGTCCATCCATTCATAAGCTCATCACTGAGTAGGCTTCCTATCTCAGCGATCATGATACATACCCCCAACTGCTCCCTACCCACCATCCCCCAACCCCCATCCCTCAACAGACTGAGTCACTCCTGGACTGCATTGACATTGTGGTACCAAACTGCATCTGATGAGAGTCCTGCTCCTCCTGCAGAGGGAGGGGAGGGAGTCCGTAATCAGACAGGAGGCAGTATAATACCTGATCACTAGATAATGCCATTTGGCTGCGGTCATAAATCAGCGGTGCCAGGGCCTGTGATGCGGAACACTGACGATGCAATGACTGGCAATTTGTTCCAGTTGAGGCTGATTGTAAATCATCCCTATGTTGTAGAAATCCCCCCCCTCACTGAGTCTTCCACCCCTTCTGTCATTTTGACTCATTCGTCTTCATTTCCACCATTGGTTTTCCCACACAGTGTTGGTGATTTCCAATTAAACATTCTCTTGAAAAAGTTCCGAGATTTCTTCCTTTTTCTTCAAACAAATGGCACTTTTTGCCAATCTTCCTGCCATTGTGGAAGTCTCTGTTGATAAGATTGCATTGCATCTGAAAATAATTCCAGTTGTTAACGCAACATGGTCAATCCCCCATGAGCTACAGGTACTGCTGTCGTCAGTGCCATTGGAAATGTTTTATCTAGCCGCTCTTTAGTTGCTCTGCAATTTGGAAAGCAGAAAAGGAAGGAATCTGCAATCGGGGGACTGAACTGCATGGATTTTGTCCGTGGCTGATGATTGCTTCCCTCTCATATCTTCCCTTGGGCAATATTCCGTGATTAAAATTTTGTATCTTCTGTCTTTATTTTCTTGGCCCAAATTGCCGATTCCTGGCACCACTTTTTAATCAACGCTGTGTGTCTTCTTGAAAAAAAAAGTTCAGTAGAAGTATTTGAAGTACTCTCATTCTTTCACCAACAGATCACCACTCATTAGCACTCATCCTCTGTTTGTCTTGATGTGTCGCAAATGAACAAGCAACAGTTTCTTCTCATCTCTGATTCCTTCTTGTTTTTCCTGCTGAAAATCGCCCCCCAGACGCCAAGAGCCACCTTGTGTAATCCCGCTGCTCTGAGCATATCTCAGTTTTCGCTCCTTTCTCATTAGTCACGGTTGCCAGGGGCAATGTCGGTAATCCCCCAATCCATTTCAAGGTGGGAGTCGCGAGCCCCCTCAGTCACAGGGAGCCCTGCATACCAAACCACCAGACAGGTCGGCCAGGCAGGGGATTAGCAAGACACATGGCAGGGACTGATTACTGAGCAGGGGAGGAGGCAGGGGAAGATCGGTCTAGTATTGTAAATACTGGGGGTGGAAAGAAACAGTACCCAGGCAACTATGCACAAGCCTATGTCAGAAGGGTGTGAAGTTATCCATTAATAAAAGACCTTGCTAATGTGGTGTCAGTATTTGACAGGTGAGTCCCCAGGCCTGAGGTTGTTTGTAGTTTGTGAGGGTAACTGTACAAGAGGGCAACCACTGACTGTGAAACATGTATCAAACTAAATAGGCAAGGCACAACAGTTAGCACGCCTTGCAAAGGGTTGAGAGTTGAGAACTATCTTTTCAGAATCAGAAAAGAAGAATTACTCCTTCCGTAAGAAAAGTCTTTTCTCACATCATTCAAAATGTAACAGAACATGGGAAAATATATTGACTGGATATTTTAATTGTCATGATTATTTGATTGAATTATCTGAATGTTTTTGAGGGATGAATTTCAATGTTGTAAAGAAATGTTCCTGTCTAAGAAACCAGTAGTTTTACTTGATAGTCATACAATTTAAATGCATTGTGGGTTAGAGGGTTGGATCTGAGTTAAGTCTTACACTTTTAAAATCGATGGAAATCTCTTTGAAAGTACCAAAGGAAATTTTCACATGCTTTCCAGCAGTAGCCCAACTTTAGGTCTCACTGTAAAAAGTGGCTAAGGTCTCTGCAGTGAAATGATACATGGTAAATTTCTTTATTCAGGTTCAGCCATTCAGGTTTCCTTTCTTAACTTTGTAACTTGCTGTTTTCAGATGCACAAAACACATGCTTTTACCTGAGCTGAATTTTCAGCCAATGGAAGCTAGTCCTATTTCAAGCAGTTTGATTGGTCCCTTGGTCATGATAATGGGAACTTGCAGGTGACTTGGCTGACACCTGGGCCATTTGGAGGGCCACTGTTTATTGGGTGGCTTTTATTATAGCAGAGTCTGAGCTAAAGGCTTGAAAAGAAACCTTTGTAGTGTGTCTGGCTATTGTTGTGAGGACAATAGCTCCCTGGTACATGAACATCATTGGTTGATTGGGACACATTGTGTTGCTCTTGTAAGCACCTCTGTGCTTTGAACTTTGAAGAGACATCTTATTACAGGAATCCTGTCTTTTGTTACACTCTGTTGGTAAGTTTTTTGAACATGGACTTTGTCTTGTCTGCCATATGGTATCTTAATTGGAACTCTGGCAGGTCGGTAACCTGAATCTGAGTTGAGTCATTGAGGACATAGTTAGGAGTGAGTGCAGTGATCATTGTATTGTAAAAAGGCAGGAAATTCTTCATATGTGCTACATGTTTTACATTATTTAGTTTCTCAGGTAAGATGAAAATATCTGGAGTGTGTATTCATCTCAATATTTTTGCAACATACTTAGAATTGCCAAACTGGGGTTCATTTGCGGAAGAGGGTATTTTGGGGAGAACTTTTCTTCATAATATTTTTTTCCCTCAGGCAACACAAACTACCTTGACAAGCAAGCATCATCACAGCTTGGTCAGTGTCACAGCGATTTCCGCATGGGCGCCTTCCTTAGAAGCCCCAGCATAAGGAGAGATTACTAAATAACTATCCGTTAAAAAGGTTGTCTGAATAAACTCCTGGGATTGATTATGGGATAAACGTCTTCATTTCCTCCTGTTTTTCCTGTTCACTTATATATTTCCCTCTCAACCTCCCCCCCTCCAGAAACTGCCAGCTATCACTCTCTGACGAGTCAAGGTGACGGGGTCAGAGTGCCCTACGCAAGACCTCCCAGCTGTGGATCTGATATAGACGGAGACACAGAGAGTGTAACTGGGACATGTGCCGATCAACTCATCATTGAAGCAGATAACTTTCTGCAGGTAGGAAAAGCTTGGATGTGGTTTATAAATTGATAAATTAACTGCAAATTACTCTGAAAACCTAAGTTGTCACACATTTCTTAAAACTAAGCTTTAGGTCCAAACCATAAAACTATATGTAAAACTAGAGCGCTGACTCATGTACAAAGTGATGCCTGGTGGGCACATCCATGTTTGTTCACAAACTTCTGGAAAACTTTAGATATTTTACAGCTTTTCTTTGGCTGTCTGTATTCTAAAACAATACATCATCAAAGCTGATACGCAAAAAATGAACACACAATTTGCAAGTGAGAATTTCGTTTTGCACTGTAGAAATAATGCAAACACTTGTGTGCATGTGCTGCAGAAATCTTTGCCCTAACATTTTTTGAAATTGGATTTTATTGGTAACCAATGAGCATTGTATTTAGAGTACATAATTTGACATTCATTCTATCTGATTTCCAATATTCCATAAGTATTCACATGAATTCAAGATGTCTGTGGCCTGGACGGCGTCAAATATTCTCAGTGCATTGAATGAGAAGTTAGTGCTGTAGTGATTTATTATAGCTCTAGCCTTTCCCTGTCTGCCAGTTTCTTGCATTTACCAGTTCATGTCTGATGTAGCCATCTGACATAACCATCATAATGAAAGACAATTGGATGCTTAATATGTACATTTTAGGACAGCGGTATTATATGTTTGCTCAAGTTAAGGCAATGCAGGACAAGACACTAGGAAAATAAAGTAATCTAAGATTGCCAAAGAAAATCAGAACTTTGTATTAAAAGTGGTAAAATGAAGTAGTGACTTTTTAAAAGTACATAATAATCACAGACACCACAATTGTTATATTTGTATTCGTAAAAAACAGTATACAAGATTTTTTTAACAAATGCTAATTGGAATGTACCTCAAGTTATAAATGCTCAACTTAATAAGTCTTTGTCAAAGTTACACGTATTTTTCAACATTGTTGAATTGTTACACCCACCATATACTTGAAAAAGGGTGATCTGTTTTGCAGGATGCAAGGGTTACCCAGTTATAATTATAGTAGGGTTACTTGAGGTTTTTTCTCTACATCGGTCGTGCTAATTAACAGCAACACAAAGTCAACATGCGTCAACACATGATAGTAATGTCAGCACACCGTCAACACACCCAAATCACGTTCTAAGTTAAGAGAAACGCAATTCGATAGCAATATAATGCCTAGAATACAATTTGGCTAACAACAGTAGGCGACATTTGGGAGGAAAAGCTGTTTTATTTCACGAAAATAACACCCTCCGCACAACCACGAAAGACAGTAGCCATGTTGCCTCGATCAGACGGACCATACCCTTACGCTACAGGGGGTCACCTTTATACAGTAAACCATGGTACGGTCCAAATGCCGTGAGAAGGCAAGATGGCGGCGAACAGCGGAGCTGCTCAGAGACAATTTTTTTTCGTGTGAAAAAACTCCCTTGAAATGAAGTAAAATGTAAACTCAATCAAATAGAAATTATTCCTAAGTGTATACGTTACAGTTTGATACTTCTGTTTTCAATGCATTTTGTAAGTGTTAACGGTGTGTTGACGTTACGAGCAATGTGTTGACGCATGTTAACGGTGTGTTGACGCTGATTAGTACGACCCCTCTACATGTAGGCCTCGAGCTTTATTTTTCAAATATGTTGACAACAATACAGTCTGAAATATTTGTACCTCTCACAAATCAACATCTATATTGCCCATCTGGTAAGAGTGCAGGAATACAGTGGCAATGTTGCGCAACTTATGCTGATGTCATTTGAGCATCATTGCCCATTTCCACAGAAACACTGTCAGATTGCAGTCCTCTGAACATTGCTTTTCATTTTTATGTGAGAAATCATGCGAATCTGGATCTGATTTGTATGATTGATTCCTACTTGATTGTGGAAATCCACTGGAGAGTTGGAGAATCCTCTGAAGTCGCCTCGAGAAAGAACGGCAGTCGGCATTTTTCATTTGGGTTTGATGAATTTTCCAAATGACGGGTCAGGGGCAGAGGGGTCAGTGACCTTTGCAAAAGTTTGCACAGACTGGGACTTTATGTTTACAAGGGATTTGATATTTTATATGAACAGACCCAAAAGTCTTAATTACTGTTTCATGCCAAATTAGCCTTCAATTATGACCCACTGTACAGTGTTAGATAGGCCATAACATCCAGATTGTTTGTTTCTCGTTTAAAACTGACATTTTTACATACATGTACATGATGAATTTTCTCAGAGCACTGCAACCAATTTGATTTTTTTTGTCAGTACTTCAAAGTGATTTTTTTAAAATCCTGTTCACTAGACCTATCCTAGTTGTTTTAAGCATTGTAATAACAGTTACCACACCCTTGAACTGTTAAAGTTTTTGAATGATCAATCAGCAGCTATATGAAGTTAAAATTTTCACTTCATCTCTGGAGAGATTTGTCTGTATTTCTGGAACTCATCAATTTACAGTAAGCATTAATCTATACAGCACTAAAAAAAAACACAATTCCCCTTCAAAGCAGACTGATTCTTTCCAAATTCCTGCAAACCGGTCATGACAGACAAGCAGGAAAGATGCATCACATCCTAGAAACCCTTGGGGCATATGAAAAATGACAAATCTTCCCCCCCCCCATTTCTCCTCTAGTGATCTACATACAAAGGGGTCGTGACCTCGGAGCAATTTAACAAACTTCCCCCAAGTTTTTTAATTGTCTGTTCCCTTGTTTCAGTCCGCAGACGGGAATACAGCGGGATCAGAGAGCAACGGGTCGAGTTTGACACTGACGGAGACGGAACTAGAGCAGGAAAGCCCGCGACACACGCCGGCCAGGAAAAGAGGGGTTCGGGGAAAGCACAAAGGCAAAGGTGAGTAGGAACACATGGTCTCCAGATTAGCATGATCAGTTGAACTTGTTTAAGTTGTTGTGGGCAGTGCATGCCAGATGGTTCATGCAGGTAGTTTTCTGACTTAGCCAGTTTTAGGGAAAACTATAATCACACATTCATGTGTTATTGTTTATAGTTACTTTAATGTCCTCTTTATTTCAGTTTGTTTAATATATTACAGCATTTGTAATAAATACTGTTTGTGGAATTGTGACCTGCAGTAATTTGTATTTGATACTTCTGGGCACAGTGTGCATCAAACACTGTGATGTGGCTGTTTTATGTTAAAATTTTTAAATTTAGGTTAGAGCATATATTTCTTGTTGCTTCAGCTTTGATTCACATATACATGTATCTCAGATTATAATTTTCAAAGAAAATTTGAAAAATGTTCAAAAGTTCAGGAAAACTTTTAAAAAACGTAGCATTACACTCATGTATATGTATGCCACTATTTTGTAATCACTTGCCAACTCAAAAGGTGTTCAACGTTCCATTTCTGTAACCTCCCAAGCTGTAAATTTTCTTCCGCCATCATTTTGCCCGTCACCACAGTCATTCAGTCGTTAACAAACTGCCATTTCCCGTTACCAGAAAGAGAAAATTACATCACAGTTCCCCAGCACTGTTTACATCACAATTGTAGAGGTTCTCCTCTTTCCCTTATGTGCTTTGGTGTTATGATAAAATGGATGATTTATCCTGTCAGCCGCCAGGGGATGTCATAACAATCTTTCTATCAATCCGGTTTCCAGCTCCCAATCTGATCAGAAAAAAAATAAAAGCCTGCCGTTTATTTATGTAAGGGTCTGGCCAGCCATTGTAAAAATAACCTTGTAGGGCATGCCATAAACACAGTGCATTTGCAGCGAAATACGGGATTAAATATTCAGCAAATATGTGAAAGGTACAGGCTCAGCCAGATTCGTTTGGAGAGAGACACTGGCCTCTTCAACCATTTTAAATATTATAAACATTTTCTTTGAGGATCATTCATAAAAAGTACAGGTGGCCCTTTTGTGTTAGTCAGTTGGTTCACAAAATCCCATACATTAGGGTACCACCATTGGATAATTTTAATGACCTGTGCAAATCAGGATCTTTCTCAGTAAACAAGCAGACAGTAATGTCAAAGATCACGAGATAACCCAGGCTTCATTGTGTCTGCACTTGAGTGCATTCTTCTCTATCTCACAAGGATGCTGCAGGTTTTTGCACATTCGCATGAAAAATTCTGGTGCACATGAACCATTGTAAATCCCAGGAAATAGTTGCTGGCAGTACCCGCTGACTCAAACCAGCCAGCCGACTCCGGCAATCTCGGTGGTCGAGTGATTAAGACATCTGCACTAGTAAGCAGGAAGTCGTGGGTTCGAGTCCCACCAGAGTACAGTGTTATAATACACATCAGGCAAGGCAAAAAATCCTAAATTAATTGACATCTCCCCAGCGTAAATCCATCTTTGGAAATAAACCATTGTGTAAATGTGAATGTGGCCATAACTGGCTGTCACGAGACTGCCAAACACTTCCATCTGCTGTTCTTTCACTGGGTACCTAGCAGTAATCCTTCTTGTCTCAACATGTGCAGTGGACATTTGTCAGGAGGCTAATTTTCATTGGTAAATTGTGATAGCTTTTTTCTCTTTGTGGATTTGTTCAACCCGTTATTCCATTCAGGTTTCTTCTTCTTATCTATTGTTACTCTTTTTCTCTGGGCAGTTATCTTACTGACCATCATCTGCTGTTGATGTAATGCTTGTAACTTCTGTCCAATCAGCCATGCTGATGTCTTAGGTGCTTCTTGTCTGGAGTCAAGACTCCACCACAGTGTGTGTCATCTGACAGAGGGATTAACTCATTAGAGAGTCTTGAGGTGTGGGGGCAGGAAGCAGCAGAAGATAAAGACCTTTTGCTGGGGAGTCCTAAGATTCCAGCGAGTTAATCCCCATGACAGATTTGGGAGCGTGTTCCCTGGAAAAATGATGTGATTTGTTGACTTTTGGCTTAGCTCCCTATCAGTTGGGGGATTAACAACAGAATTCCAACACTGTTACCTGTGTTTCAACAACCACACTTGTTTATCTTGACTGCGGCTTCTATTGTGTTGTGTACATGTGTCTGCATGTTCACTGTATGCATGAAGAGGATCTGGCAGTGTTGGCAGACAACACCCCTCAGGCAGAGAAAATTCCAAGATTGTATGTTCAGACCTTAGTTTACTTCTCTTGTTCAAACATTTTCTTCTTAACTTGAAGCCAGTTAACTTTTATAAACTACAGAGATGCTTTTTAGAGGTGCAAGTGTATGTTTCATTTGGAGGAGCACAGTTACATCTGTAATTTGTTTCATTTAAAATTAGTCACTCAAATTTCTCGAATAAATTAAGACAAGTTGCAACCTTCAGAAAAAACCTCCTCTTAACTATTCCAAACTGGATAGGGGTTGAGATTTTAGGGCACCCCCCCCCACAGTGCCCCAGTTTGACATGTTCCTCATCAGATGAGTCATCACAAGCATGCCAGTGGAGGTGAAAACTCTGGCTTCTGCCACACTCAAAACTTTCTGGTGGTTTTTACTCATTGTAACCAGGGAAAGAATATCCGGTACTCATACAAAATGCGGAAATCAATTACACGTGTGGTTATCATTTTTACTGTTGGAATGAATCTCAGAGAATTTGAATATGGAGCATTATTGACAGTAAGTGTGTTGGCCCCTCCAATGGAAATTGCCAAAGATAGGGAGTGGGCCAGGAGAACATTGTCAGATTAGCATATGCAAGAAAATAAAGGTTGCATGTTGCTGGGACATGCATGGTCTTAAGGCCCTTAAACTAAAATTTGTCTGAAATCTATCAATTCCAGAAATTTTCATGCTGGCCAAACTGATGCAGTGTTCCAGGTCAATAAAAGTTGCCCCTTAACTTGAAAAGTCAACCAACTATCAGTCAGTGGTTGCCTGCTCTTTTCTTTAATGATGGTTTCCCTCCCCTGAGCTGGCCCCTCCCATAATATTTTAAGCCCTGAGTTCTATTTTGTCTGCATTCAAAATGCCATATGACATGGTGGTTGTAAGGAGCAGCTCTCCACCCTTTGATGCACAAGAGTACAGTTTGAATGAATCATTAATTACTCAAGGCAGTGTCAAAATAGGAGGTCAGACCCCCCACAGAAGGGTGTGGTAGCCCCTCTTCGCACCTTCCGCTGACAGCAGCAACCTTTGGAGAGTCCTAATTGACCGTATCACTGCTCAACAGCGTTTACTTGGCTAAACACCCCTTTGGCTTAAAGTGTGCTTGCACTTAATGTACACACCACTGTCCTATCAAGTTCCCATCCAGGAACAACTTTGCCCTGCCTTTCTTTTCCACATGTACTGGCTGACCTGACCAGTCACAGCCAAGGGAATAGTTGTTCGATTTTGAAGGTGACCAATCACAATTGAGACTGGGAGCATTTGGACCAATCATAGGGTGCTGGCAGCTCCAAGGCTTTTCTGGAACACTCTGTCAACACCCATTACACGTAATGTTGCAACCTACACGGACGAGTGTCACTCAGTAGCATGTTGCACCCCACCCATTGCAAACCCTTTGGGACTTGCCGTAGCTTAGTTTTTGTTAACTCACTGTGCTTGGCTTGGTGTAGGATTTTGAGGTCGATAATACTGTTTCCATTTTTCAAAAGCTGTGTCCATATTGTGACGCAATATGGATGTCATCAAACTGTGTGCACCTGATATTTTTCGAGCCCCTAGCTGTATGTTTCAAAAAGATACTAGAAGAGTGAGCAAACCTAATCACTAAATAGGCAGGATTTGCCACTGGCTAGTACTGGTGCCCTGGTTCTGCTGGATTGCATGCTGCAGCAAGGGAACCTGACCATGGAATATCCAGGACATCGGAGTATCGAAGGATTGGAAAACGCAAAGTTCAAACCCTGTGTCCACGCGAGTTCCAAGCTTTGAATGCCCACTGACTCTGCACGACTTCTTCCCCCCACAGGTAAAAAGACAGCCAAGCAGTCAAAAGAGCCACCAGCACCTGAGCCACCCATTCCCATGCAGCCAGTCCACCCTCCTTCCAATCACCCAACAGACCCTACGTTTGAGCCCCCGACCGACACCCGCCCACAGCCCTCCCAACAGGAAGAGCTCTTCCGCCGCTCTCCCGTGAACATCAACTACACCCCCACTCCCCACAGCAACGGGATGGGGATCCCGCCGTACTACCATACGCTGGACCGCAGCGAGGGGGAGCAGGAGACCACGTTCCATGGGACTAACTCCATGCCAGCTACCAACGTGATTACAAACCCCATGCTCGGCATGACTATGATCAATTCAACAATGCCCAGCAGAGGTAAGGTCAAGGATCAGATGAGAGTTTGTCTTTTCAATTTAGTTTTCTTAGATATTGCTGTAATCTGAAGAGGGAAACGCAGACAAACTCAAACGACAGGATGCAGAAGAGACTTCAACAACTTTATTCTTGCACTGCCTGTTTATATACACCTATTTACGATAATGGAATTACCCAAGTGTGAAAGTATGGTATAAACCAGTAACTCCCAATCAAAAATTGAAGGTGTGGCTAGGTACAATACAGTAAATATTTATTCATTACACAGGCTAGAATAGGACAAGATATCTAATCAAACTTTGCACTGCATTAAGCTGATCCTTATTGACTGGATAAACTTTTTCATTCAAGGCGTCACACCATTTCAAGCTAGGTACTAAGAGTTTTATTCAAAATGTAAAGAAATTGAACGGTGGAAGTGTAAATCATGATTTATTTCTTTTGGAAATGCTTGCAAATAATAAGTATTGTGGTACTGAATGGATACCTGTTGGAGATTCATTGCCCCCCCCCCAAAAAAAAACCAATCCACAAAGTCTGTCCTTCGTAGCAAATCATATTTTTCTGTCTTAGTTAGTGACAGTCTAGCAGAACTTCAATTTATATTGTTTATTGACTGTTTTTATTTCTTGTAGCTGTTCCATCCATCCCGTCCAGTCCCAACACCAACCTGACCGGCAGCTCCAGAATGAACAACTTCCAGCCTCGGCGCGATGACTCCCTGATGTCCCCTCACCCTTACAGTACTATCAACTCTTCCAGGCAAAATACGGCCACAAGGTCTGTGTGTGGAGTGACTTCATTCATACTTAGTTGAAGTTTTCATTTTGCTTCACAGCAATGCTTTTTTAGTCATGCTGTGAGATGTCATGCAGTGAGTTTTAAGTCTGAATATATTCCAGTAGACAAGGCATCCCCGTTTGTTTAAATTCTTCCCTTGTTACTTGTCTTTGAGAACATGTCAAGGTATAGCAAAGTCCACATGGTAAAGTAAGCCATGCATGACAGGCACCGTTACTTCTTTAAAATGACATTAAGTCTTTTGTTGAACTGTGGAGATATATTTCTAAGTACTTGCCGACTTGTCATTCCTTGAGAAGAACAATAACAGCCTACTGAGCTGTGGCTTTTAAACCCATAGTCCATTTGAGTAGTTCAGATGTTCCATCTGTGTAAACACCTTACCTTGCTTCCTCCGTCAGATATGATGTAAATCAGGAATTAAGAACACATTCTCTTCCTGGAGAAAATTTTGCGCATGTATTCCATCTTTCTGAAATCATTTCAGTTAATTCAATACTTGTTTGTTTGCAGAGGGTTTTATGAATTCCCCAACAACAGCACCTCCTCCACCCTGCCACCAGTGCCAGGGTTCACGGCGCTCTACAACGACAAGAGGCCCAACAGCAATGTGCAGCCGCTCAAGTACCGGCGCGTGGCGCCGACCAAGCACGGCCTGAAAGAGCGGGTATCGTGGAAGTGTGCTGCACTCCTTCTAGCTGTCATATCATTTGCGCTTGCCGCTACAGTTATTTATTTAGCAGGTCAGTATGCTAGAACCTGAAGTGTTTGTTGGTCATGCTGATTGTTTAGTAGTGTTCATTTTGGATTCAATTTGTTTTGTTTTTCTAACTGTTATTTACTTTTTTAGAACCACTGTTTTCCCTGTGTGTATTTTCAGTTAATAATTTGTCATTTTGATAGATGATGAGTTTGTAAACAATATCTGTGGTGTTTCCTGACATGCTGAAATAATAAAATGATGGAATGAAAAAAATTTCAACATTTAGTTGTCTCTTTACTTCAGCATCCATAAAAAGATTTGAGTTTTTCTTTTAGGGATTTTCAAAAGAAAACATAACTGAATGTTGAAATTTGTAAAAGGGAAATGGTCTTCTAATTGTGCTTTGTGGAACTGTCCCCCTTAAAACAAAAATCATTCTGTTTTTTGGGGGGTACAGAAATGTTCTCAGGCTGTAAACACATCTGTAAAAACTATCCTTGGCTTTTGTCATTTGATCTTGTTCAGTAGTCAGCATCTCCATCAACCAGTGTCGTGTCGAGACGGTGGAGAACGTTATAACAGATTGCAAATCGACAGCTGTCGTGCCCAGCACACGAGGACTTGCTTCAGCTTCCACTAAACGTAAGTTGCCCCAAACACGTAGTAGAAAAAGCGGCAGTATTCCATTTGTTTTGAGACAGATGTTCACATTTCCATGTTTCATATGTTTTTTAATGATATACTTCCCCTCGCCATAATGAAATAACTTATGTTGCATTAGCTGTATGCTGCTTTTGTAGACATGTTGATTTTCATGGCTTTGCTGTTATTATTGGATTATCATAATGAAATAACAGCATGATGTTTTCATGTTTGCTATTGACTTTTCAGATGTAAATATTTCACAAAGGTTGTGTTTGATTTTCTTTGCCAGGCCCAACCACTGCAGCCCCAACTCAGCCTCAACCCACCCAGCCATCAGCAATTGCCCTCAATGCCCCGTCAAGGGTTCTAATCCCACCAGGGGACTTTTGGGTCTCCGCACTCCCTATCAACACCCAGCAGTATGTGCAATTGAACCTGACCATCCCTCTCCGGTCCAATTTTGCTATATTTGGGCAGCGCGGGGCACCGCCCACGCACACGGAATATGACTTTGTGCGAGTGCATGCAGGGAGCCGGTGGCACGACACACAGCGTGGGAAGCGGGACATCCACAGTGAACGTGACCGGTTCGTCCCAGACAATAAGAAGGGACGCAAGCGCCACGACATGATTATCCAAGAGGACTTCTTATTTGACAGAAGTAAACGATCCAGTGTTCTCCCAGACACGACACTGTCGTTTATTGAGGAGATGGTACCAGGTCTGTGGTTTGTAGGTGTGTACAACGATGGCGATGCAACAGAAGAGGTGGAACTGCAAGTTTCTGACAGAGGTAAACAAGTTCAGTCACCTGTAGAAATTCAGAAAGAAAAGCCCTTTTGGATGAATTAAAAAAATTGAAGGAGTAGGCGAAATTTGATCTGATTAACACTATTTAGATTGTTTACTGACAGTACTAAAAGTGTTAAAAACATTGGCATCGTTCATACATGGAAAGATGTTCAGGTGAGAGACCACACTGAAAACTTTTGCAGACTCTATGTCACTTTGTATTCTCTTATCCACGTGCAGAGCTGCCAAGTGGTACAGATTTTCTGTTATTGGCACGCAAATTGATTGTGATTACGGGAGTCATGGCAGTCATGCATAATATTTCGGGGTGCACAAACCACACAAAACGGCCAGCACTCAGACCGCGGGCAGTGGTGTGACGTGTTCCGCACTCACGTGCGACGGTGAAACATGTGAAGACCGACTCCCCAGCGATCCAGAATTTTTGTATACCCCACATGGTAACATGTGCATATACATGTACATTGTGTGATCTGGTAACCAGTGAAACATACATGTACATAGGACTACCTGTGGCGCGCTGGTGCCCAACAACTCACACACACAAAATGCTGTTTTTACATGAGACAAATTGACATGGGAAATATCAACCAATAACACAACTCAAAGGCACGGACAACTCGGCATCTCAAGGTGTAGTGTATGTAGTATTGTGTGTGCACATTGGTATGGGTCTGAGTTGGTATGGGGCCAAGCTATTTTTGGTCCGAATTGGTGTTATACCCATTTCCACAACTATCACGGCGTGCGTGTGACTCGACGCGTCGTGCATGACAACACCACACCACCATACTCGCTCGGATATTTCCACGATCGCACGCACTGTGTCGTTCGTTCTTGGAAAAGAAATGGCTTCTATGGCTTCTAACGTGTCATAAAGCTGCAGATGTTTAGGAAAGAAAAACAAGAAATAGCCATGTATCACAGCATCTTCAAAAGGTGAAAATTTTGCATTTTGCACACGGGGGATCAAATGACGTCAAAGTACATGTCAAGGCAGGTGAGGATGATAGGGAAGGGAATCAGGACATAGCAACATTTTTCCGCCCTAAAGACAATGGTACTATTCGAGCTGAGGTGTTGATGGTGCAGTTTCTTTCCGAGCATAATATTGCAATAACTTTATTTAATTTGAAGCTACATGTACCGGTATGCACATGTTATAATAAGAATTGGGATTACCTGTATTGCGAACATTGGTTTCTGTGCTTATGTTGCAGGGCTCTGTGGAAGTACACACATCATCAAAGGCTGTACATTTGATTTATAATTTGGCATGCGAAGCAAATAATAATTCAAAACTGTTTTTCATTAAAATATATTACTTTCCACATACTGAAAACTCCCATACTACATGTACTATGTAAACATGCTGTGTTGTACATTGCACATCAAATAAAAATAGTATTTTCGTAGCCAATTGGCTCTGCGAAAGAAATTACTGATTTTTAGAGTTGAGATTACTGAAATACTCCGAAAGAATTAGGCAGCTCTGCACGTGAGAATTCATGGAATACTTATAACAGACTCTTTCTAATTGTCCAACCTCCAGCAGCCTTAGAGGTTAACACAACAAACTCCCGTGTGGCTTGAACATGTTCCGTAATAACCCATCTACTCTAGTTTACCACCTGCATCAGGCTGCATGAGTCTCTGCCTGATTTATCGAAAACATTGAGCTTTGAAGATATGGATTAAGGGTATGACTCAAGCGTTTGATGTTCCGACGGGCTTGCGTGTTTAGCAGAATCCTGCTGAATCTTTGCCCTTTATTTCTTACATCTAAGAAATTGCCTTACTTGCCGCAGTTCAGAAGTCACTGTGGTCAAGTTCAGGATATTTTGGATGGAAATTTCCTGCACTGTAAACTCCAACAACCCCAACCAGAAATGGATACTTGTCGCTTCTGACTTCTCTACCAGTCCCAAACCCCTTGCCCAAGGAAATTGTACAAAAATCTTAGAAGGGAAAAATTTTGGAGCCTAAAGCTAAATTTAACTCCTCCTTTGGATTTCTTGCCCCTGATCTACTATGTACCAACTGATCCATACATTTACACCTGTGTACTTACCTCAAAGACAAAATCAGATCGATTCCCTTGTCTAAAAACTTTAGTGAGGAAAATTTTAGAAAGTCAGGATTAAAAAAAGGTTCGTGGGATACATGCTCTGTTTTAAACTCTGTTCTACTGGCGTGAAGTGCAAGGTTCACATACAAGCCCTCAAACTGGACCTCGTGTCTGAGTAACAGATGGATCATTGTCTTTGGTTTCTTACAAATGGACAGATACCTGGGATGATGGCCAGCGATGTCCCCGAGGTTGCAGTAGCCACGGAGAGTGTGTCCTTGGACAATGTGTTTGTGAGCAAGCCTACACTGGTGAAGATTGCTCACAAGGTATGGCATAATGGTTTCCATGGTTGCACGAACAATTACCTTTAGAAATTTTGTTTTATTTATCTTGTTGCTCCTTTCAATGTATATCCATCCTGGACTTCTGTCTCACTCCAATCAAACGCTATCCCCTCAGGTATTTGCCCGGTACTCTGCAGCGGTCATGGTGAGTACGCCCACGGGGTCTGTGAGTGCTACAGCAACTGGAAGGGGCCTGAGTGCAGTGTGCGCAGCGAGCAGTGCCTCGTGCCGGACTGCAGTGGGCATGGCCAGTGCGTCCTGGGAGAATGCGTGTGCTCCAGGGGATATATAGGACAGGCCTGTGAGGAAGGTCAGTTCCGTTATTCCATCTCACGTCTATTTACATTTTATATTCATTCCTTCAAGCACCATAGTTTAGAACTAATTAAAAATGGTACTTTCCATCACTTGTTAGAAAAAAGCTCACTATAAAAGTTCTCTTTTGGGGGCATATTAGTATACTAGATGTTATTCAGTATCAACGTGTTTAGAATTTACAGTTATTACCCTAAGGATAAGGTAAATGTGGATGAGGAGACATATCCTGACATTCCATAAACTTGACGAAAAATTGCCAAACAGATTATATGGGAAATCCAAATCTAAAATCCGTGAATGAACACAACATTAAAGGACTGTGAGAACTAATTCAGCAAGAGTCCAGTGTCAGACCTGAACGAAATACTTGTACTGAAGCTGTAAAGCGATCCTTGTCTGTTTGTGAAATTGTTCTCAAGTGTTTTCTCATTGCTCAAAGATTTTTATTGATAGGGCCTGCGACTGTAAGATTTATGACAAGGATTTTTCCCTTGAGGGATCAAAGGAAGACATCTGTCACCTCCACAGAGCAGAGGTTTCTCCAGGAAACTACTGTAATTGTCTGTCTTATTAATGCGCTCAGCAGGTCCCTTGGCGAAGATGATGAATCAGTTTGGAAAGGACATTCTGTCAGCTGTGTGTTTTCAAGAAAGGTTTCAATGTATCTCTGCATCCCTAATGATTTTTTTTTCAGAGGTTCACGAGTGTGCCAATGACACAGACTGCGGCATCCACGGCCAGTGTGACACAGGCATGTGCAGGTGCGAGAAAGGCTGGACCGGTGAGCACTGCTCACAAGAGGCCAGCTGCCTGCTGCCCTGCTCCCCCAGAGGGCGCTGTGTGGACAATTCCTGCGTCTGTGAGCTGGGCTGGAATGGCCGACTGTGCGGACTGGGTATGGCACTTTCTTTGTCAGGAAATGGCCATTGTTCTTACTGCCATATAAAAACACACAAATTAACTCACCCCGTCTTGCTTAGAAGTGACAAAAAACAAGTGAAATTGGATGGTGCTATATTTTCAGTACCGATACCTAAGTTTGTAAAGCATGTGATATTTGTAAATAACACAAGAATTTAAGGGTTTTGAGCTCCTGTGGGCTGTTTGTTGGAGCTCAAATCTGATTTTCTTTTTCCGGTTCATATAGAGGGTTGCCCTGATGGGTGTAATGGCCACGGTGACTGTCGATTTGTGGACATGAGGTGGCAGTGTGTCTGCGACGGGCCACACCGTGGCAAAGCCTGTGAAATCACCATGGAAACGGCATGTGCTGATGGACAAGACAATGATGGAGGTACCTTTTCATTTTAGTCCCACCCATCATTCGAAATTGTTAGGGGAAATCATAGATTTTTGTGAAATATCTGATTGGAACTTCCAGTCTGCGTACATCTACACGCTATATTGCATCATTTCAGTTTGTTTCCCTCTCTGAAGATGATTCGATCCACATTTTGTATGCTTTGTTTTTTAATAAGATTCCCTGATGGATTGCCTGGACCCTGACTGTTGCCATGACGACTACTGTGCCTCCAGTATCCTCTGTAAGACATCCCCAGACCCTGAGACTGTCCTGGGCCGTGATGTGATGTCCCTCGTCACCCCTCCCCTGTCAGTTTACGATCGCTACAAGTTCCTCGTGGAAGGTGACAGTGTTCAGACTGGGGCAATGTTAGACAGTGTTGATCCAAGGTGAGATTTCTTTAAGCCTTTTTTCCTGAATACGTTACTGGTTGTACAAGATTTATTTAAATGATTGGAGTTTGACTTAATTACTTTTCTTTGTTCTTAACTGTGTCTTTATGAGTAAATTCAGTTATATTCCATGGTAATTAAGAAACCTAATCAAATCATTCCCCTTGTAAAACATTTTGAAAAACCAAAAGTAATTTTGTTTGGGGTTTGAGAGGGATAAAATTATATTGGTTTTACCTAGTCGACACACAGCTCATGATTGTTTTACCCAGGAGTCTTTGACCCTGAGAAGCAATTATATATAAACATAATGAGCCTTATCCAAAAGTGGAATAAAGCTTCTGATAATGCAGCCCATTGGTTGGGAATATTCGCTGAATTTGCAAATAGCAAAGAGTTTTTGCAAAAAGTTGATTTTATTTTTAACATGACTTATTGCAGTCGTATTGCCGTGATACATGGCCGACTGGTCAGTGAGGATGATGGTCCCATACCAGGTGCCAGGGTCTACGTGGAGGGCCAGCCATCTCTGGGTCACACCTACACCAGGCAGGATGGAATGTGAGTGTATCAAGAACCCAAAATACTACAAGGCGGGGACTTTTGTTGAGATTTTCCCCTGAAACTTTTGACACAAACCAGAGAGCTACATTGGTATTCCTAGGGATGTATAATCAAGTGCAATAGATTTGAAGTTAATTGCCGATGCCATGTTAATAGAGTATTTGGAATGAGTGGGAATGTATCTGGGGCAAACACTTTTAGAATTCTGTTCAAATTCTCAGGTTATACCCAGTATCAAATGCCCCCAGCTGAATTTATTCTCTAATGCTGTATCCTGCAGGTATGACCTGATTGTGCAGGGAGGGGGCTCCATCCGTCTGATCCTAGAGCGTCAGCCTTATCATCAGGCCACCAAGTACATCTACGTCCCCTTGCAGAGTTTTGTCCATGTACAGGACATCCCACTGTCAGCGACGTCCAGTGTGGGGCCAGACGGCGGCACCTTAAGCAGCCGCCGCAGAGCAGTGTGCGCAGGGGAGGACTTCCCTGTGCCTAAATTCAAGAAACTTGAGGCTGTTGGGAGTGAAGAGGGGACTTGTCAGGAAGAGGGCTTCTCTGTGGATCAGAGGGTAGGCTTGTGATTCTAGCAAACCCTCAGATGTAAATTTGGACATGACAAGAATTGAGGGGGTGGAATTGAACTTGGGGAAGGGTTGATTACTTGTCATGTTAAGTACTGATTTCACAAATTCCTAAAACTTCTTAACTGATCTTTTTAAACCTAGAAACCCAAGGATTTGATCTCGAAGTTGGAATTCAAATCTTGTGAATATTTTGGTGAATTGTTTTGGTGTCTTGGAAATGAATTGGTGTGAAGTTTATTTGCAATTACCTTTGAATTCCACCTTTGTTAACAAAACCACTCAATCTTATTGATCTTAATTTTGAAGCTAGTTTCCCTCTGGAACCATATCTGTTTTAGTAGATGTGTTTGTTGGAAATACGTGTACCACCATCTATACCAGTCTCAGGAAGACTGTTGAATGCATAGACTCTATGCAGCTTTCTACATCACGACGCTGCTTTGATGAAGAAACCACTCACCTCCTTGACTTTGTATGACCTTCCTAGGCAATCCACGAGCAGATTCCCATCTCCGGCACTAAGTTGACCTTGGACTACTTTAGCCAGAGTGGACCGGGCCAACCAGCCAGGCTCACCTTGCAGCTGACCCCCATCACACTGCCCCAGAGCCTAGAGATGGTCCACGTTAGCATCAGTCTGGAAGGCCGGATGTTCAGGGAAATCCTCATGCCCGAGAGTGCCATGGAGTACACACTGCGGTGGGACAGTAGAAATGTGTACGGACAGATGGTGTACGGACGGGCCTTTGCTATGGGTAAGGAATCACGTTTACTTCATGTTCACACTGCTGGATCGATCTCTTAGCATTTCTAAACCTCAAAGGTTCGTTACCTGTCAATCTTTGACAAAGAGAGGTACATAACTATTACAGGATGGATATCATACTAAACCTCATTTATGGATCATGGGAAATTTTTCTGTGGGTGATCATAAAGGCTTTGAAATTACACATAAATTATTTCTTGTACATAGCAAATTTCATTTTAAAAGTTAACCATCTAGATTTGCTGTTAAATCAATAAAGACTTGATGTGCACATGCTTGGACAAGATTAAAACTGTGTATTTCTTAAAACTTTCATGAAACTTGTAATTTTCTGTAAAAATTGCACCTGACTTCCCCTTAAACACTGTCCTAAGAATAGCCTATAATTATTTGTCCTAGTTTCCATTGGCTATGAATACCAAGGCTGTGGAGACATCATTTGGAGAAAGCAGCGAATTGCAATTGATGCACCCAACTGGGGCTCACTAGATTTAGGTGGCTGGCAGCTACCTGTCCACCACAACTACAATCCAGAAAAAGGTAGGCGGCACGTCTTTGGGACCTTGCTTATTTCAAAAAAAGAGCTGGTGTTGGATGTTCTTTCTCGTTTCATGTGTGCATCAACACTTCACACTTCCACTATGCAAAGCCTCATATCTTATTCACAGCACTGTTGTTTTTCTTCACATCACCAGCTATCCTGAGCCTTGGCACAGGCCAGCGTGTGCACTACCACCATCAGCCAGCCATTATTCAGTCCATCATGGGCAACGGGCGCCAGCGCAGCACTGACTGCTCACAGTGCACGGGCCGGGCCAAGAACAGCCGCATGCTGGCACCCATATCCTTGGCCAGCAGTCCCCAGGGAGACGTGTATGTTGGTGACTCCAACTTTGTGCGGAGAATTGACAAGTACGGCAATGCCACCGTCGTTCTGCAGATGAGGTAGGTCCCCAATATTTAACTCTGTCAAAAAATTTGTGGATTTGCACAACATCTACAGTTCTGGGACCAAAATGTAACAAGAAAACAGGCATGCTAAATCCTTAAGTTCTCTGAAAGTGAAGCCAAAGAATATTTCCAACCTACCTTTCAACTCTTACAGTAACTTAAAAAATAACATCAAATACAGCCCCAGTCCTCCATTGATCTCAGTTGTTCCACATCCAATCATATTGAATTGTGAAGACATCATGATTATATCTAGGAAGTTTCACCATTCAGCATAAGGGTTTTGAAGTTACGGTCATTTATACTTCCAAGTCCTCATGCATGTTGGCCAGCATGCATTGAGCACTTCAACAGAAAACGTTAACATCTCTGATTGATCTAGCCGGAAAAGAATGTGTGGTCTTTCAGAATAGAATGCCTTGTTGATGGATACAGGCTAGTTAACTTTTAAAACTTTCCATAACTCAAGATGTACACTTAAGCTCATCTCACTTGCCTTTTCCCATAGCTACCAGCCCTCCTACAAGTACTACCTGGCTGTCAGCCCCCTCACCGGCGTCCTGTATCTCTCAGATGGACAAATCCGCCAGATCTACCAGATCAGAAAACTGACAGACATCCCCAACATCTCCACCAACCTGATGCTGGTGGCTGGGACGGGAACACCCTGTCAACCCCTTGATCCAGATGGCTGTGGTGATGGTGGAATGGCCACAGATGCAAAGCTGCTGGACCCTAAAGGTGAGAGGGATATATTTAACCTCATTACCCAGTGATTAACTACTTGCTGCCGGGGAGCCCAGTTTCGAAGACGTTGGCTTTATATGCACAGACGGTGCCTGAAATGGGACAAAGGGAAGTGGGCCTTGTAAAAAGACTGTTTTCGGGACAAAAGACCTAGCTGCTGGGAATTTCCAACCTTTTTTCAGTTGTCAATAGCGGAGGAAATCCGTCATTGTTTTGAAAGATTATACCATTGTTTGTGGCATTCAGCGCAAGCAGATTACCACCGGGGACAAAAGCGCTCCAGCACTCCAGTGATGAGTGATACAATACCGCTGCACACTAATCTGGCCCCTATCGAAAAGACGTCAGCAGCACGCTGTGCCGGTTTCGGAAACAAAAGAAAATTATATAACACCGCACAATCTGGGCTCTTTTTACAAGGCGGCAGGCCTGGCTGAAATACTCGGGCGTCAATAGATGTTGTCTGTCAGATTAGAGTAGCCACCAGAGAGTCATTTATGTGGGTGTAAACGTCTAGTAAATGAAGTTATAAATTTTTAAAGAATTTTGAAAACATACAAAAAATAAAAATCACCCGGCCCAGCAGAATCAACATGGATAAATGGCCCGGCGGGAATCAGTTAATAAATGGACTATTTTCCCTGCGCTCCTTCCTTTGATATGTGACGAGGGGCCGTTTGGGAGAAAGGATGCACCAAATACAGACCTAGGTTGACTTGATGTCTGAACGTGAACACTTTAATCGACTTTTGCACACTTATTTGTATCCACAAATTGGAGGGGAGGAATAATCGGTGCAGGATAGCAGAGGGTACTTCTTAGCTCTGGCAAGGAAAACGTAAGTTGTAGATGAGAGATTAATCCCCTTGATCAACAAAGAAACATTGGAGTTTCATAGTAGTTTGGGCACAGATCATTTGAAAGGTTGGTGGACCATAACCATCCCAGTTTGTAACACACAATCCAAAATTGTGTTGACAATACCTCCATTTCAACCATTAGGCTTTTAGTGTTTGATTGTCAAGTTTCTGTTTTGTTTGTAGGTATTGCTGTCAGTCGAGATGGTACCATTTTCTTTGTTGATGGGACTGTTGTCAGAAAGATCCAAGACGGTGTCATCAGCACAGTAGTCGGGTCCCATACTTGGGTTGGGCCAACCAGACTTCCGAAATGCTCAGATACCATGTCCTTTGATCAGGTAAAACAGAAGGCATAGTACATGTTAATTAGTCCAGCTAAGCCAAGTTTATAAGTTCAAACTAATCTCTCACCTCACAAAAAAATTCAAATTAATAATTATTATGTCAAGAGCTCTATAACAAACACCACATAGGCTATACATTGGTCTGTCTTAAATCCTTGAACCATTTTAATTCTTTAATTTTGCTTCATTTAGTTGTTTAAGTTTGATAGAAATTAGTGTTTTGCTGTTGATATCAGTTTCCATATTTGATGTGATTTTAACATAACCAGGTAAAGCTGCAGTGGCCTACTGATATTGCCATCAACCCCATTGATGACTCCATTTATGTGACGGATGAAACGGTCATCCTGCGCCTTGGAAATGATGGCCTTGCATCAGTCTTTGCTGGTGTCCCCCACAGCTGCCCCTTTGATGGTGCCCCACAGTTGGGTCCCTCAGACGACGACCACATGGTCAGTGGTGTTCAGTCGGGGCCTAAGCTGGCTACCCAGGAAGAGCTGATGTTCCCCAGTGCCCTGTCATTTTCCAGTGCCGGGGAACTGTTTGTCGCTGAGACGGACAACCTGCGTTTGCACCGCATTCGTCGCATCACCTCAGATGGTATCATCTCCTGGTTTGCTGGCCGAGACTCCGAATGCGACTGCCATGATGAGGGTTGTGTCTGCTTTGATCAGGACCAGCTCTTTGCTGTTGATGCCAACCTCAACACACCAGTTGCTCTGACTGTGACCCCAGACAATGAGCTCATCATCGCTGACCAGAGAAACCTGCGCATCCGCAAAGTCACCTTGGATATTCCCCATCTGGACGAACAGGGCAACTACATGCTGACATCACCGGATCGCCGTGAGATCTACCGCTTCAACCAGCGGGGATTTCACATGACCACTTGGGACACTCTAACGCAGCTGGTATCTCGCAACTTCTCCTATGACGGCAACATGAAGCTGGGGTCTGTCTTCGACGGTCCCGGCAATGACCTTAGAATTATCCGTGATGACAATGGGTCACCACTTAGGCTTCTACCGTCTAGCGGCGATATCGTAGAAATGACCCTGAACACTCATGGTTTGTTGACTGAGACCTCCCATGGTGATGGAAGTCAGATCACCAGAATAGAGTATCACAATGCTGGTGAAGGTTTATTGATGGCAAAATACCATGGCAACGTACTGCAGCATGTCTATGGGTGAGTTACCTCAATTCATTTGTTAAAACCTGAATTTCATCTCCATCTTATTATTTGGTTATGAGGGTTAAATACGTACAAGTAACTCCAGAATCTTTCCTGTACACCAGAAAAGTTATCTCAAACAGCCATGAGTATTTTAATAAGTGTGTGAACAAATAAGTTAAATCATTGCCAGCAAAATATTTCAACACCCACAGTTGTTTTCAGCCTTCTTAAATATTAAGGAAATTCCAAAGCAAAAGACATTTCTCCATATGGCAAATGTCAGAAAAGAAAGTATATGATAAACTCTTTGCTGCAGCCTGTATGACACCACAAGCTTTACTGAGGTTCAATTCAAAAAGCATTATCATGATTTTGCCAATTAAAGCAGATTGACAAAGTGGACTGTAGCATTATCCCTTAATATGTATGTGTAACTTAAAATGTGATATCTTAACAGAAACCTGTCAGAGGTCCTCAACATTTCTTCAAGTCATGTGTGATTTCCAAGTTCCTTTCTTTGTCTCTCACTGACAGGTACAATGGCCAAGGCTTGTTGGAGTCCATAATTTGGCCCACAGGGGAGGTGACCAGGCTACAGTCCCGGACCAATGACTCCCACTCCATTGTGGAGATGACTGAGCCAGGCCAGGCAGACTTCATCAGCTCAACACTGCAGCACACCTGGCTGACAGAACAGACATTACTGCAAGGTGGGTGGGCAGAACCATCATATCTCTAGCGCAGATTTTTTAAATCTAGTTTTAGTCATAAAACAAAGGGTCCTGCAAGGTTGTTATTTGGCCGTGTAGCTTGCGGACCTGAAGAATATGTGGAGTGATGACATTAAGGAAAGATCAATGTCATCGTATTCAAGATTTCAAAATCATGGGTAAGGAAAGAAAATTTGATTAAGGAATGAGAATTCTGTGTATTTTTAACTTGAGGGGATTTGAACCCAAGGCACGAAGGAAAAACCAGGTAGAGAACAACTGTTCCAACCCATAAATGTATACTAACAGAGTTAGTTGCATGGATGAAGTTAATGCCACACTCCAATCAGGATATCATTGAGATGGCAAACTGAACTTTTGCTCTCTGTCTCCTCGATACAGCTGATCTAATGGCTACCATCATCCAATCACGTCATGATGGCCAGTTCTCGCTCAGCTACCCAAATGGTGTGAGTGTCCAGCTACAGCGTGACTCTCACCCTGTCTACGAGGATGACCCTTATGCGGTTGTGACTAAGCGCAAGATTGTCCTGCCTGAGGACTTGGTCAACCGGTTGGACTGGCGATACTACGGACGAAGGGGTGGCCAAGACAGGCGGAAGATATTGGTCATTGGCCGAAAACTACGGGTAAGAAGCAAAAAAGGGAAGAGTTTAGTTTACATATGAACCGTTTTTTTAAGGAGCCAGATCTTATTTGTGTTTACTGTACAAGGTCATCATGTCACATGTCCTTCCCTCTCACAAACAGATCAACGGGGAGCACGTCTTCACCCTGGAATACAACCGCTTTACTAAGACAGAGACCCTCCAAAGAGCAGATGGCATTCCGGTGCTCATTATTACCCACGATGCAACGGGCCTCCCCATTGAATGGCTACCCACCCATGGCCTCAAACCAACCAATGCATCCTATGATCCCCTAGGCCGACTCACTCGTTGGCAGAGAGGGTTGATGTTTGAGGCCTTTTTTTATGACATAGAAGGGCGGCTGACCGGGAGGCGCCATGGGAACGATAGCATGTGGAATTTTGCATATGAAAAAGCTCTTCAAGTAAGGAAAAAATTTGTGTCACTTTTTCAGTAAAAGATGAATTGTAACAAGGAACAAATGTCAATGATTAGCATTGTGCTTTCTGACACACAGCTGCGTAAGTGGGAAAAGTGCTTATTTCCAAAACGGAAATAGTGTTGTTCACATGGTTTATCACGTAAATACTGATATTGGTTTAATTTCAGTTGTTCTTCATCATCCATCAAGCTCTTTAAAAGAGATATTTGTCGAGACACATTGAGTTGAAACCTACACGGATCATTTTCTTAATACTTTAAATAGAAAAAAATACTGAATTACAGAAGAAGATGAACCCTAATGCTTGGAACCGAAGCAATGTTCTTCAATCGTAAAATATTTTGATCTTATTTCAGCCATCAGAAACCACTCTGCCCAGTGGCCAGCAATACTCCATGCTGTATGATGATTCAGGGAATTTGAAGATGGTTACCATGCCAACTGGATCACGCCACCAAATCAGGACAGTTGTCTCCCTCAGTTATGCTAGAAATATCTACTCCTATGAGGATAGTTCCCCGTGGGTCATGCAGGATCACAGCCATTCGGGTCATCTCCTACATTCGTACTTTCCTGGGATGGGGCGCCGTATCACTTACATTTACGACAACAAGGATCGCATGGCCGATGTCCTGTTTGAGGAAACTGCCATTGAATACAGCTACCATGGCAACACAGATCAGGTCAAGACAGTTGAGCTGCGAGAAGGGCGATTTCATAATTCTTTGCGATTCGTTCACAATGGACCACTGGTTGAGCAGATGCTGGTACGCACCTCAGGTTTTGAGGGGTTGATGAATGCTCGGTACGATTATGTCTACGATGCAACTTTCCGAGCAGCCACCATCTCCGCGGAGTTCAACACAACGGTACTGCCGCTTAAGGAGATGAGATTCAACAGTGAGACCGGACGAGTGGAGCAAATGGGGTTCTTCACGGTGACCTACCCAGATGCTGTCACCCAAATCATGGCAGACTCTTTCTTCCAGTTGAGGAAGCAGTACGGCACTTACGCCTTGCTTCAGGAAGTCAGTTACCAAATCACTGGAGTGGGCACCATTGCCAGCATGGCACTTTTGTACCATTTGACGGGCCGCATGGCTCAGCGTATTCTGACTATGCCCAACGAGTCGCACACAACAAAGTATTCCTTTGACATCAACGGCCAGCTGGAGGAAGTCAAGGTGGACGATCGTTTGATGTGGAAATACACTTATGATGACAATGGCAACATCGCTTCTCTAAGTCAGCAGGGATCAATTGAAACACTCGACTATGATGACCAAGACCGCATCACAAGGGTTGGGACCACAGACTACCAAATAGACAGCGATGGTTTCCTGACCCAGAGAGGAGAGGAGATCTTCGAGTACAACTCCAATAGCCTCCTGGAGCATGTCTACAAGCCCCGTGTCTATGACGTCCGTTACAAATACGACGGTGTTGGCCGGCGTATCTGGCGCAAAGACCACGCAGGCCGGCAGGTGCAGTTCTTCTACGGCGATATCACCAAACCCACAAGGGTAACACACATCTACGACCACACAGCTCGTGAAATAACCTCCCTGGAGTATGACCTTCAAGGTTTCCTGTTTGCACTCCGTCGAGGCCAGACCCAGCTGTATGTTGCATGTGATCACGTAGGCTCTCCTATTGCCGTCTTCAATGCCAATGGAGAAATCCTCAAGCAGCTCAAGCTGGATCCCTTGGGGAAAGTCCTCAGTGACTCAGACCCGACGTTCCTCCTCCACATTGGCTTCCAAGGAGGCATCTACGACCCCCTGACGAGACTTGTGCATTTTGACAGGAGAGACTACGATCCTGTCTGTGGCCGTTGGACTTCACCAGACCTCAACTTCTTCAAGGACATCACACAAACTACAAGGACTAAATCTTTCAACATGTACACATTCAATGGTAATATCTTTGTTGGAAGTGATACAGAAAGCCACTACCTTTCAGGTGAGCATATCTCACTTTAGTGCAGATGTCAAAACTGAAGCAGAATATTTCACTTAAACATGAAACCACCAATTGGACTTGTAGCCCTGGTCTGGCAAAAGAAGAATATAAATGCACATTTTACTATGACCAAAGATATTAAAAAATCGTCATCCACTAGCCCAAGACAGTTTGTGCTGGGAGAGAAGTATGTTGTAAAGTTTACTTCAAGGGTTTATCCACACGTTCCAATATGCAGCACAGCAAAAATCATGGCTACTCTCTATGTTGCAAACAGTATGAAGAACACATTAACGTCAACAAATTCTGTAATTCGTATTTAATTCCTACATTATGTCAAATCATTGCTTTTCGAGCTTTTGTTCACATCAGGGACACTATAATCATTGCTGTTCAGTGTGCACTAACTCCTGTAGCATTGAGGATCAGAGGATTCACACTCCCTGCCTTCAATCAAATCAGACAACATTCCCAATGGTTTACCTTTCTATTCTTTTTAGATCTGTGGAGCTGGTTCCCTGTGTTAGGGTATGACATCAACAACATGATACCCCAGCTGAATCGCAATGGACAGATTGAGAAGATCGACTCGTATCGCTCAGCCTGGAAGGACAGTACATTGGTGACCTCTTGGGCAAAAGTAAGCACTTTCTTTTTGCATCAACTGGTTAAAAAAGGAAGCAGATTTTGAAACCAGATGTAACATAAAGACTAATCCAGCCACCGGGATTAGAAGTTATTACTGTCATGGGACCATGCTCATATGGAGGTAGCTTGTCATAATACATGTGCACCTCAACTTCATGTGAGCAGGGTGGTCTATATCTAATGCCCAATGTCCAAGTGTAGCTTTGTCATGTTCTCTTGTAATGTTGATCTTCTACAGAGTCCTGTTTCCCCTACTTGTGCCCCTTCTGCCACATTCTCCTCTTGTTTCCATGATTTTTTTAACCAAAGCTGTTTTTTTCTTGCAAAGCCACAAGTAAGTGTAAATTTTGTGACATTTTTAAGAGTTTCTCTTTTCAATTCAAACAGCCCTGTACTGCCCTTGACTGCCAGGGCAGTCTTCACATGGACATGATGTACACAAACTTCCATGCTCTTCCTATCGACCGCTTTGCTACCGACTCAAAGACCTATGCGCCACCCACTGTGAAGTTCACCAGTAGCCCTGCCCTCATTGGAGGAAACTTTCTGTTGACTCTTAACCGAAACAAAATTGATGTTAAAATGTTTGGCACCATTGGAGAGACAGCACAGAGACTTATCTCCATAGTAACTGGAGCGGAGATCCTGGAGAGGTTACGGCATACACAGGATGGACGTGATGTACGGTATTTTGTGAAATCAAATGATGCAGAAGAAGACTTAGACACATTGGATTTGATTCCAGAAGTGGCAAGCTTGAACATGATCCTGAACGATGGAAGGATGATAGTGGCAGCACGCTCGTCACCACAAGCAAACGTCACAATTATTACATTACAGACAGACTACACAGCCTGGCACTTCCTTTACGGCATCACCATAGATGCTGCTAGAACTATGGTGCTAGCCCAGGCTAAGACAGTGGCCGTCGCCCAGGCCTGGGAAAAGGAGAAAGTCAATATATTGAACAGTCGGCGAGGCTCGATAAATTGGACTGCCTTAGAGCGGACGGCCATCTTACAAAATGGCTTCCTATCCACTTACGAGGGGCAATACACCCTGGACCCAATGGTCTTCCCAGAAATGGCCTTTGATGGGAATGCCATACGACTTGTCCGAGTGCCTCAAGGTCTACAATCACAGGATTGATGCAATTTAAGCGAATCCTCAAGATGCAATTAGTGTCTTTCTCAAAGTTCCAAAGTTTGTTTGTTTTTTTGTAATGTAGCAGATGTTTTCTGAGAAGTTTCTCATCCTGTAGCACCTTCGCTGGACATTTCAAGTCCCAGTTCATTCAAGTGCTTCCCTAAAGCTGAGAACTCTCATGGATGCAAAAAGACTATGTCATTCTCAGCTGGATTTCTAACCTCTGTGGATTGCCAAGAGTGGTTGAAAGTGTTATTTGTCAGCCAATGTAAGTGCGTTTTGGACACAGGTGGAACAGCAGCATGTACATTGTAGTATTTTTCATCATGTATTCCAAAGAAAAATGAAAGTATCACAAGGACAGTATATTGGCAAACATTTAAGGAGAGTTGTTAGCAGAAGAAATGATGCCTGTAGTGAAATGTATGTGAGATACAGCGTCAATAGCATGCTGGTTTTGGTGGCTTGTGTTAACGCTCCATTGCAGTGTGTGTTAGACTGCCTGGAAATCTTCGAACGTATGACCTCACAGCTTGCTTTTAAGGTGAATTTTTCTGGTGCGATGAATTCATTTTTCTTGATGAACTTCTATTTACTGATAAACTGACTTGTCTGAGGTGATTTTCCCGCAAAAAAGTGTGAGAAACAGAGGTCACCATGCTCGCTCAACCACTATGCCACACACCAAGGTATCTCAAAAATGAAATGACTTGGTGACAATTTCGGTCATACTGCTGAAACAAAAAAACAATACTACATGCATACCTATTCACGTGCCAAATGCTGAACCATTAATACTACTAAAAGTTACTTCTCATATTTGTCAGATTTTACTCTGTACATATTAGTCCTATTTCAGGATTTTTTTGTTACCTGTACATGTGTATATGTCTTGTCGATTGGTCTTGAGATTTCCAATCAAAAAAATTTACTTGATTTAAATAAAACAAAATATAATATGTAATTATAGCTTTTTTGATAAAAATCATGAAATGAAAGTAGAAGCTTTAATTTATATAAGATTATTTTGCAAGAAATTGAGCAGGTAGGTACCCTACTTGTCATTGAATTGAAAGGAATTAAGAAAATGATTGTCAATAAAATGTAGGTATGGACTTGATAATGACATGTGGAAAAATGTGGACTTGGATGTACACGATGGCGATAGATGGGAGTATCTGTCATCAGCATGCTCTGCTGGTTACAAAAAGAACAGTATTTCAATTTATTGCAAATTCACTTTAAGTTTCACGGTTTATTAGATAGCACAGAGTTATGCTGCTCCTGGGAGCAAGAATGACTCGGTGAGCCAGAGAGTGAGCAACATGCACTGTTTACTCATTGCTGAAACTGTAGATATCAAATTGGCACAGGTGCTCGCAAAAGAGCATTTTCCATTTTTCTTTCAAAGAAAGTAAAGTGTTTCAAAGCATTATTGTGCAACAAATACGCTTGTTCATCAGCATTATCAGAGGGTTTCACATGGCATTGTGTAACATAGTATTGTCCATGGAATTTGCTTTAACACAATGTAGAGGTAGAATTATACATGCAGGTGTTTACTGTACATCATGTTGCGCTAGAAGAACATGTATGTTGTATTAGCCCTGTGTATTTTCAGGGCATGCTGATTTTATTGCTTTTTAAACTCCTTTTTCATTAAAAGAAAAAGCTCATACTTGCATGACAATCATTTTTGAAAGAGATTTCAAAAACTGCTGTAGTTTAAAATAGACTAAAGGACATCTATCATGAACAGTTTAATATATAAATGCATTATACACGTATTTATGTTCCTGCAAATTAGGCCTTTGTTTTTACATTAGATGTATTTCAAAACTGTAACTAGGATGTGTTTTCAGTGTGGATATACATGCAGCAGGGTGTTTGTTTGCAATGAACGTGATCATCTTGTTAAATCACATCAGGCCACAGCAGTAGGATAGTTACATGAACAAAGGGTTGCTATTTTTATACTTGAATAATGACCGTGTACATACCTCATACGGAAAAGACATTACATTTTTCATTTTTATTAACAAAAGTGTACACAGACATTTTTAAAGTAGATCACCATGTGTGAGTCAAGTGTCTCTTTTGCCAAACTCATTATGGAAAAAAATAAGTTTCTTGTAGAAAGGGTTCTCATTATTTCCAACTCAATGAATAGTCAGGGTTTTTAGCTCTTTGTGTAGAAAGCCATCAGTAGGCAAAAACAGGGCACAGGGTACAAGACAATCTGAATAAGATATTTCCTAGGTAAACTCTTGAAAATTATTGACTAGATGTCCAACCGTTGCCACCATTTACTGGCAAGTTAATTTCAATTGACTGGTTACGGTGCTATGCAAGCTTATCTGGCTGATGTCTGTAGATAGCTGTAATAGTTTTTACAATTCGGTCTGAGTAATCCATTTTATAATGACTGACCTTTTTCATATAAGTAACTTTTCATTCTGGGCTTAATTTCATAGTTGTACTAACAATGGAAATCTGTTCTTGTTTCCTTTCTGTTATTACAGTGCTAGCTTAGACATGAATGTTACGTTATCCATGCTAGTGATGAGACTCCATCTATTACATGATTGTGAATGCACAATCACGTAATAAACTTATTAAACCATATAATATACAACATGTAATTTTTATTAAATTTTCTGCTATTCTTTGCTTTACACTATGAAAGCAGTGCTGTAAAATTGAGCCCTGCACTCACCTTGAGTTTTGTTTTGTTCTAAATCAGTGTTTGAACCGTTTTTGTTATGTTACATGTGTTTTCTGGATGATGTGAAAAAACATCTTTTCATCCAAAGTGTTCTTTACAACAACTCTGACTAAAGTAGCCATTTTAATCTGGATTTATGTACTTTTATTCCTTTTTTATGATGTGAGTGGCCTGGCAGTGTGGCGCCCATATAAAGCTGTGTATATTGTGCTGCTAGTGAACTATGATGTAAATACTCTTCAACCACTTGTGTTTTTCCCTTTTTTCATCTTCTGTTGCAAAGGTTTTGCAAAATGATTTGTATTCTGTATTTTGTATTCTTTACGTATAGCATGGCTGATAATCATGTACTTGTTATCTTTATTACTACTCTAAATAACTGCTGTTTATGTAGCGGCCCGGCTATTAGCGTCATTCAATTGCAAAGTGTTAATAATATTGCAAGCATTATTTTTGTACAGTGCTGATTGAGGGAAGGTTTGAAGCCTTGTCCAATTTTGAGAATAAATATTTGATGAAAAACAACTGAAAAAGAAAACATTTCTGTAATTCATACTGTTATTGTTTGCTGATACAGTGTATCTTTCCACTGAGTTTTAATGTCCTGCCATGGTAATTAGTGCTTCCCCTTCTTTCTCATTAATTTTGAAAATATCTCATTTGAGATGCTCTCATTTGTTGAAATTTGGAATCAAAGATTCATTCTTCTCCTGACATTTTTTTTCATTGTCTAATACTCCACGCGCTCTACACAGTAGCATTGGCAGACAAAAGCAAAATTACGTCAACTATGTGTATTCAAATGTTGAAATGAATCCCGGGTCGCTGAAGGAAGTTGATTGGTTCATCTTGCGAAGTGGCCGGCAATTCTTGCTTAAATGAGCATGCTTAGGCGTGGCCGTCTTGCATATCATTAAAAACCACAAAGGAGTAATTGTAGATTGGAATGTGCATTTCGTTCTGAACCGGTTTGGCATTGCGGTAGTGCTATGGACTCCATATTCAAGAGCAGCCTGTCTACTTGAAGAAGAAGCATATCGTGTACTTTACGAAATTTGCCGTATAGTGATCAGCGTTGTCGTCTAAATGTTTCTCTGGAAGTTGCTGGTGACAAGCTTGCAGAATGTATTGCCCCGTCAGTGTTGCTCCTCAATATGGAAATGACAGCCGACAAATATTAATTTCCCTTCACGTAAGTAGTACGGCAACACAAGGTAAGTTCCAAGGCAAGATGTTGTGTTTGCTATGGGTCCAAGGTGCAGTTCATGTTACGGGTACCATAGACCCCGGAAAAGCAATAAATTGGAATTTTGTGACGTGAATAAAAGCGCAGATCTTGCCGAGTGTTAGTGTAAATTTCAACGGCAAGAACGCGACATGATAACCGAACTACTGTATCATGTGTGTGAACAATAATATTAGAATCAGAGAGAGTTTGAGGAAAAAATAAGACGAGCGAGGGACTTGAGACACTGTTAGGATGAGATAAGGACTTAAGAAATTACTGTTTGGAAACTTGAACCATTTTCATGACGTTTGGATTTTTGTGTAAAATTACTCTTGCAAAAAGGTACAGAAGTGCGCTGAAGTTCTCAACCTAAATAATTTGGAAGTGAAAATTTTTTTTCGAGTATTTATATGCACTATCAATATTTGTGACGTAAAATACTTCATCTTTACGTCCTGCAAAAAAGTAGTCACGTACTAAGGATCCAGTTGGGGCTATTGCCATTTGTGAGTTTGGTAAGATTTCTCTGTATCGGAGAAAAATAATCGCAGAAATTTGCATATAAGTGAGGTACATAAAAACCAGAGGACATGCGAGGACAACTGTAGGCAGTTCTGGTTAAACTAAGGTGGTTTTAAATGAAGCATGTGATTTGGTCACTAAAAAATTAAGTCGTACCAAGTGAGCATTTTCTTCTACCCTCGTATAAAAATATAACCGTTTATTTCCATTGGTGGAAAAAGAAATTTGTGCTGCTATTGGTGCTCAATCCATGCTAAACAAGTAAGGGTCTTTTGTAGATAAAGTGGCACCTGCAGGATTTCTAACTTGACCTTCACAAATTCCCATTATTGCCTTCTAGGATGACGACTTTTCCAGATTCTTTCAAGTGCCGTGCCCAAGGGCCCAAACACTGCAATTCCAATTTATTTAATCTTAAACTTCCTTGAACCTGCAGTGCTTTACCAACATCTTCAAAGATTGTTGCACTGGTCTAATCTGAAGAATCAAAATCTTGCATAGATTGTGTTGATTTACATTAGTTTGTGATGTATTTCTGTCACGGTTCAAATGTGGTATTGTTACGAGGGATGAGATTTCTGGCTTTTTAGCTGATTTCAGCTATTTTTATTTTGGATTTCAGCTTTTCCTCACTGGCTGTTTACAAAAGTATGGGATATTTTCACAGTTCAACTTTATGCCTTTTTTTGGCTGTTTTCAGCTATTTTTATTATTGGTCAGTCTCATCCTTGGTCACAGTGATTAATCTTGTGGCATTTAATTAACAGTCATGAAAGAAATGGTTCTGCTTCTTGCCATTTGTTCACTTTGTCGATACATGTATATCTCATTACGTTCACTTTTAATAATCGAACAAGTTTTTGCTGTGGAAATTTGGAATTATGAAATGGCAGTTGTGAAAAAAAATAGATAACTCCCATTTGACTCTGCAGAAAATCAAGCTTCATCAGAGTCACTTTCCATGAAACATAATTGTGAGTTCATTGTTCTCCCAAGCGTTTCGTATCCAACCATTTCAAATTGACATCATACCTTGTGTTACGACAAAAATTGAGAAAAACATGTTTTCGTACCGTATTTTGGTGGTACATACAGTTGGTCATATTTATAAACCAAGCTCTATCAATAAGATTTTTATTAAAAATGATTGCCATCACAGTCATAGAGTAAATATGCACACATCCGGTAGAACAAATTCTCCATTCTGGATAAAGGACAGCATTTACTTGGATCTTTCAAGGGAAGACTGGTCATACCTTTTCTCATAACATGCTCAGTTGTTAAGTAAGATATTTGCCTAATGTTCATCCATAATTGTAAGAAAAAAATGGATGTGGGAGAACTGATTGGATTTGCTGACCAGTTGTTCCTTTGAGACATACAAGTGAAATATTTCCGATCCCCAAAAATTAATTCGGTCGCAGTGCGACACCAACTCTTTGGTTTGAAAATGTTGCACACAAATCCCTGTCAATTGTGCTGTCTTTCTTTTCATCTTTGATTCATTTTTGTTTCATGTTGTGCATTTTCACAGTCTTTTGGATAAAAAAAGTGCACCTGTGAATATAAATTGTATTTCATCATAAGTGTGATGGCATTCTATACATACATAACAGGAAAACATTTTTGTAGAGCAATTGTTAACCTGGCAGTCTTCAATCTTTTACTTGTTCGAGGAATGAGGAATGTTAGGGATAATGTAATGAGTTTTTTAACCATTGCCAACATGTCAGCATTTTTGTTGGCATCAGTCTGCTGATTAGTGTCATTTGTAATGGAATTCTTATCACTTCAGTCGTTATCCTGTTAATTTAACAGAAATTGTAAATTGTGTGGAAAACTAAAATTGGAGGATTCAAAACTGTGTTTATCAGTGGTCAAACGGCCATTGAAGCGACAAAGTATCGGTCACGTTGAAATATTCCCCTTTTCTGCGTCCTTCAATCAGATAGACTTTTAATTGCATTAGACATTTTCTCTAAGAGGATTTATCCAAGCTGGGATTTTCTCAGGCAGAATATTCACAAAGATTTTAGTGAAAAAGCACCCCTTACTCCAGTGTCTTGAAAATGCTACCTTGTTGCTTCCTACCAATTTTTGTGTATGAAAATTTTATTGATTTTTTTCTAGGTTTATGTTCTCTCTTTGCTGTTTTTATTTTTTTTTCTCAAAAATTCAGTTACTTCGACCGACATTCAGAAAAAAAGAGAAAGAAACCATATTTTTGGAAGTCTAGTTGTTTTACCATCATATGGCGACCAAAATGTGTTCTTTTACAGAAGATTTTCAGGAAACAATCTCCTTTGAGTAAAAAATTGCTCAGATGTTGTTGGGTTATTTGAGATGGTCGTGGTGAGATCATAACATGGGTCTACTGCTGATCCCATCTAGATGTGATGTTTTTATCTGTTAGAGCTTTGGAAACTGTCGACAGTCTACAGTGACATCCTTGTATCCAGAAATCTGAGCGAGTTCATGGCAGTGACCTCGCAATCCTGTGCAACGTTTAGGACAGTTCATTACCACAACAGCTGTCCTCACTGTGCACAGTGGCACCACTAACAGCAAGTGGAAATCTGCAAAAGTTCACTATAACATCTTGTGGGAAGTTGGTGAATACCAGCGACAATTGACACCATGACATCGCTCCATTAGCAGTACATGGAATGCATCACCATCTCTCTACCCCGTAGTAGCTGGATACCTGTGACAGTTGGTCACCCTGACACCTCTACACCCTGCCATAAATGGAGACCAGTGACAA